AATTTTTTATAATAAAATTGGAATAATAATTTTTTTTTAAACCTGTATTTGCGATTAAAATTAGCAAATTATTTGTAATTAAATTTTTCGGTATTTCAAAAAAAATTAAGCCAGGAATTTTTTAATCCATTATTTGCTGAAGAATTAATATTTTCTGATTTTTTTCTGTGTATTATAATTTATTTTCCTTCCCTGATTTTCACTATTTTTTGCTATTGCCTGAAATTTGACACCTACCTTATACAAATTAAAACAAAAATTAACTTCATATCCCCACTACCTTTAATTTACACAAACACAGTTGCCATAGTCGCGGGCAGCCGATAAGATACCGTTATGCTGTTATTATTAACTTATTTAGTTGTTGCGTTGCTTTTGTTTTTGTTGCGCCGCAAGTGCTTTTGGGTGCTTGTAAGGCTTTCTCAGTGTCGCGCCAAATTCACATTGACCTTACAATTGTATATGACAACAACAACAACAATAGTCACAACAAATACAAATAGAAATGCTGTTGCCGCTCTTCGCTGTTACTGTTGACTACCTTTGACCGCCTACTGCGCAGCAAAATTACCAAAGACAACAAGTACATATGACAACAACAACACAACAGCAGCAATTTATTAGCGATTTTGCGGCCAATCCGCTGTCTATGAGGCTTCCACTAAATACTTTAGTGGAAACTTTTAGCTGTTTGCTATCAGCTTAGCTGTGGCGGCTTGTGTGGGCGGTTATGCGCGGCGTATGAGTGATTTATGTTTGTATGGCTGTGTGTGTGTGTGAGTGCATGCTTGTTGACAATGTACAAGTATTTAGTTGCATTGGCGAATGCTTTTGTCACGGCCGCTTTGGCCACGTTTGAGGTCAGCTATTTTGCTTTTACTTTTACTTAATTTAATTTGTGAACTTAAGCCATTTTGGCAGCCCGAACAAATATGTATGTATGTACATACATAGAACAAGCGCAGCAATGGCAGTGATAATACTTAGTGCGTTGTAAAATTGGTTGCGATAGGAAGGCAGCCGTACAAGGGCTGGTAGAGTGGTCTCAGTGTGGACATATCGCTTTCAACTAAGTAATCTCACCGACGCATAACCAAGTCTCTTCAGCCATATGACTTCACCGGCCATCCATCTTTTTAAGGTTCCATAATATTGGGATCACAGTAAAAAAGAAATCTGCAGAAAAAGAAGCGTTAGAATTTGCTGTATTTACTACTCTAGAGCTCGTTGATTTTACAGAAGCTTAACTGTTCGAGATGTGCCTTAAGGAAGTGTGTTTGACTTAGGCGAGATCATCTGTTTAAAAAGAGATTTGTACATACCGAATAGTATTCTAGGTTTGGGATTCACTACTATGTATACTGGGACTTCATTTTCTCATTGTTATGAAAGAGGCAGCGGTGGAAGTCCGCTTATTCACCTCTCTCATGAACTTGCATTCACTAGAAACCTAATTGTTTAAGACGAGCTTTATGAAAGGAGACCATCTGTATAAAAAGACTTTAAGATTTCGGAAGTCCCAATATTATTTTGAATTTTGGAATTCTGTTCCTACTAGTACCTCATGCCTTCTTTCCTAAGGAAGAATAACATACCCGCTCTCTTGAAAGTTCGCTACATTCACTAGAAATCTAACTGTTTAGGATGAAACTTTACAGAAGACTTTAGGTCATAAAGAATACCATCAGAAGAAAGGAGTTTACTAAATCCTAAATTCTCCTACATTTTGAGGTCCCGTTCCACATCTACTCATTTCTGTCCGAAGAAGGCGCTAGAAGTACTCTCATTCATTACTTTCTTTTCATTCCTGAGGTGATTTCCATGAAAACAAAAAATGTCCATAAGGGATCTTATTGTTCTATTTGGTCGAGAACATATTATTTTTTATTATTTAAGGGAAGAATCTAGCGAACTCTTGGTTACCGTCCCCTACAGATCTCTCTAGATTCCTAACCGTCCATGAATGGCTTATAAGAAATCCATACGAATATTGATATTCTGATATACAAATATCTAGTATCTTATCTTCGGGCTCTGCTCTAGCCAAAAGATCTGACTTCTAATGAACTTTTCGTTCCACAAACC